TTTGATGATATATTGTAAAATCACATATGATTTGATAAATAAACTTGTAGTATTGTACTTGTATACCCCCCTAAAACATGTAAAAACATTTAGAAAGGTTCACTAAGGGGTATGAACTCACAGGATTTGAAATGTGTCGACTAGGATGTTAAACGTCGAATCAAGGCTTGAAAACGTGCGAGGTTCCTATGTAATGTTAAATGATACATAAATGTATCAAATTAGATTTAAATCACTAATTAAAAGAGGATATACACTTCTAGTCGCGAAAACACTTCAATTCAAGTGTTTGGAGTGACGCGGGTGACATTTATGGGCATGTATGGCTTGCGTATGGAGTTTACTCTTAGAAGAGTTTTCGGCCCTAAACACCACATCCCCATGAGTTTACGGCCATAAACTCATGGATGGTGTTCTTAGGTGCTAAATGGTCTTATATCATTTAAGGGTTGATGCTAGGTTTGGTTCTAGGGCATTAGATTGGCACTAAATCAAACATATGAACCATTTGATGAGTTTACGGCAGTAAACTATGAGTTTACGGCCGTAAACTCTCACCGACTAATTTCTTATGTGTTTTGAAGGTCATAGGTTAATCATAAGTGATTCTACTCATTTTTATAAGCCAAGGGGTGAATTTTGGGTACCATTTAACCCCTTTATAGGAGTTTACGGCCCACGAACCCATTCTTGAGGGTTTTAGGGCCATGAACTCCTTATGGAGTTGTTTTTATCAATTTTAAGTTCCCTAACTTGTTTGTGGTTGCTTCTAGACTTTATTCCAAGGCTTATGAGGTGTGTAAGTGGCATTTTAACACCCAAAAAGGAGTTTACTACCCATGAAAGGGTGTTTACGGCCCAAGCATGTTCTTGGGAAGTAAACTCATGTTTACTCCCAAAATGTTGAGTTTAAGGTGTTTTAAGTCCAATCCAATAAGTCCTTAAACCATATCTAAGCTCCAATGGTGGTTTGGAAGGGTTTTAAGGCTCAAAAACCCCTTTTATATGTCTTCAAAACCCAAAAGTGTACCAGGGCCGTAAACACACGTTTCTGGTCCTAAAACATGATTTGAACATGAAAATGAAGGCTAAGGATGTTTTACTAGAAGCTAGGATAGTTATCTTGGTGATTTGAAGCTTGAAATAAGTGATTTTTGGACCTAGATCGTGGATTGAGGAGAGAGGTTAGAGAGAGAGTGAAAAAGTGTTTAAATGAGGCTTAAACCACTTTAAATATGGTTTTGATTTGAGACACGGTGGAATTCTACCCGATACTGATGTTTACCGAGGCTTTTGGTCGCACCCGATTAGGTTGTCGTCACCCGATATGGTCGATATTTTTTTCTAATTACTAGTTTGAGACGTTTTCTTGTGTTTCTAACATGTTTGGATACTTAAAAGGTCAAAATAAAAGTCTTAATTTAATTGACCTAATCCAAAAACGAAAACGGAATAATTTGCTTAAGACGAGTTTTACGGACGGAACGGGTTGTGGCGATGGAACAACTTCGGGTTGTCACAACGAGTGACCATTCTGATGTTCCTAATCAAGTCATTAAAATTAGTTCCATCAAAAATGACTCTCCCACAAAGGTTCGTGTGAGACAAGGAGCCAGATAGTTTTAAGCTAGAAGCATTGTTGGAAGACATATGGAAAAAAAAAAAAAAAAAAAAAAGACAAGTTTAGATTAGATAAAGGGTCCTTAATAAGACACCCAAATGAAATATTAAGGCTAGGACCCAACACAATATTTCATAACTTGGAAGAGGGATGTCGTAATCCAAGCTATGAAATATTTGAAGGTAGGTAAATGACAATTTACCAATTTCCACCGTGAAAAACGAAATAGATTATTAAGTTTTAAATGAATTGAAATTCATAGATTCTTTTGAGATTCATTAAACTTTTTAATGGCATGTTTAAATCTCGATTGTACCCTTCAAGTTTGTGACTAGGATGTCGAGGATCATAAAACAAGGTGTGAATAACTATGCAAATTAACTTGGTACTCTTAATTTTATCACCTAATCGATGTGCTGGTTAACCACACGCGCTCCACCAATCTATGATAAAAATTAAGCTACCATTTACCACTCTTACTAGTCCATGTTAGTGTGTCGGTTAACTACACGCACTCTACTAACGACTTGGTAAGGTACAAAGTGTACGTTCATGGGTTAGCACCAAATTTACATTTTCCAAAAGTAACTAAGATTGGGAATTTATAAAACATTTAGTCACTTTATAGTAATCATTATACTTAATGAGAATTAGTGCTCTATCCTACCCGTTCGGCTAACGGCCCTCCACCAGTCAAGGAAGCGGTAGGTGAGAGTGGACACCCATTAAGCTGCCATTTTATAAGCAACAACCTTGTACCCCCTTATAGACCAACTTCACGAATGAGGCCTATTAACGGTAAGACTGACTTATCTTATACATACATATATTATAACCCCCTTATATATATATATATATATATATATATATATATATATATATATATATATGGTTATTAAACTTTTAATATTATAACAGTATAAGGGTAGAGTTTTAAATTTTTAAAATTCTAGGGATTAGAATTAAAGTATTAGTGTGTGAGACTTTACAAATTCCAAATTTGAGGGAAAGTTTTGGAACTCTTCAAAACTTTTCAACTCCATAACTTGTGAGTTTAATGGACTATTAAAAATGAAGACTCTTCATTTCTATAACCTATAATTTCTTAACTACTCCTTAAAGAAAATACTTTTGGTAATCCATAACCTGAGGACAAACTATGGACTCCATCAAAAAACATGATCATATTCAAACTCATAGAACAAAGCAATTCATATCATCAATCTTCAAGACATTAAGCATAATCATATTAACTAATTCTTGAAATTATGACAATTACCTTGTAATTAGATTAAAATAAACACTACCATATCATAAAAAACAATTCAAATGATTAAAAACAGTTATAGGTGGTGATCCTAACCTAATTTTGGCCAAAAAAAACTCACACAACTTGCTATCTGCTGATCAGACTCGCCGAGTGTAGGTCTAGACTCACGGAGTCCAAGGCTAAAAACATCAACTCATCAAGTCTGCTCATGGACTCACCGAGTTGAGCAATCAGACAACAATTCCAGCTTTGCAAAATCACATATAAGCAAGAATATGAAGTATACAAGCCTACGCCTTGATACCACTAAAGGGCTTTAAGCATCCTAACAACCTTAAGGTGCTTTGGAATTATGTTTTCTCTATTATGCATGAAAAATTGATTTCCAAAGAATTTTCCTATCTAGCATGTAATCATAGGTACTTGTACAAAATAAAAACTAGATAGAAATACATACCTTTCTTGTAACTGATTGCTTGGAGCTTCAAGAGCCTAGTACGTACCAATGATTTGAATGCCTCAAATGGAATCACAAATCACCACAACAACTTGGAAGACTTGAGAGAATATGATGCACTCTTAGAAATCGGCTATGCTTTCTTATCTCACACCCTAGTGTTGATTTCTAGAGCCTTGGACTTGTTTAGATAGTATGGAGGATTAGGTTTGCATCCATGTAAAGACTAATACCCATGACCTTTCACATACTTAGGATCCATGTGTCAAAAGCTCCATAGACTATCCATGGACTTCCATGCAATCTTATCCACTCCTAAATAATCAATTGGCCCATACTATTAGAATCCATATTTAATTAGTCTCTTTTGATCATTAAATTAATTCTTGATGAATACTAATTAGATAATATGATTTCATATTAATGTATTATAACTTATAATATATTAGTAAACCATAAACATACTCCTCTCAAAAAACTATCCATAGAAATTTTTCCGATGAAGTGCAACCCAAATGGACCATTTTGGGCCGGGTAAAGTGCATACCAAATATAGGTATGGACTTAGACACCTTATCCAATAGTAATAACAAGGATGAAATTGGTAGCGTTAAAAACATTGACATAGAATACTCTATAATTCTAAACAATCATCCCTTCCAAACTGACTGAACATTTGTTACAATAAGAAGTCCAACATTTTCATTTGACATGGATTGGCTTGATCCTCACCATACAAATTTCATGTGCTGCGAAGAGACGCTTCGCCTTGCCCGACTGCTTAACGAAACTTTTTGAACCTATAACGAAAAACCTTTGAATCATCTCTTGCATCTGGACTCATACGTACCTATGTAAGAGGTACCAGGCTCTTTCATAGCCTACAACACACTACTAGAAAAAGGTCTTTTACGACGCTCATTGCGTGTCGTAAAACGCTCAAACGACGCGCAAATGCGCGTCAAGGAAGGCCTGTCATAACGAGAGATGAGGCGCTTTTGCGCGTCGTCTACAAACGACGCGCATTTATCACACCTAATGCGTATCATTAAAACCGTTTTCAAGAAAGGCCATGTCATAAATGAAGATGACACACATTTTTGCGTATCGTAATTTTTATTTTTTTAAAAAAAATTATTTATGGAGTTACTAATTTTCAAATTAAATTTTCCTTTAATGTCTCATAATAGAAAATAAAATACCATATATAAAAAATACAATCCATTGCACAAAAGTTAATGTCACTCAAAATACAAAATAAAATACAATAAGTAAGAAAGATATTTCATTGCACTAAAATGTCAAATACAAATAATCATCAATAACTATATAACCTAATATTACATTGCTATTACAGGTATCTTTTGCAGCTGCAAGTCATTGGTGATCAAGAAGATAAACAATCTCAAGCAAGTATGATCGCTTATGAAGAATACCAAAGATGCATTGCCAAAGCAAGAAGATGGTAAACTTTTCTCAACAATTGGGCTGGCATTTGCCTTCAATCCCCTCAGTAGCCTTGCAACAAGTGGGTTTTTGAATCCAAAGAGCTACATTGTTAGAAGAAAGGAATTGCAGATAGCACAATATAATTAATCACTTATGAAGAATACTGAAGTCAGAACTATGATATACACTACACTAGAAGAAACCAGAATAGTTAAACTTCCTCTGCACCATCTATCTTGCATGAAAAACATGCATATAGGTCCAAGCATTTGATCACTAACAGCCACAACTGCAACAGCTCCAGTACCAGCCGACATTGACTTCTAATAGTTTCATATTCCACAAAGTCAGATGACAAAAAACACCCTAAAACAATTTCTTTTTTGTATAAACTACAAACCTTGGCTACTGAATCATAATCATTCAAAAGCGAACAATTGGTATTCATACTTTGGAGGGGTTTTGGTGTACTCGTGATAAAAAAAGAGAGATAAAACTACCACAAGCATGGGACAAGTACAATGCAGACTTCCCCATTAACCATCCACTACTTAGATAAAACACAAATTACATAGTAAGTTGACAAATTAAACAACATTCAAGCATATATTTTCCAGTGAGAATGTAAATTTAAGATTTAATATTCAAATAAACTGAATTCAAGTACACTAACCTTTTCAGTGCGACAATTTGGTTGAAAGCTGTGATTTATAAAACTACCCAAGTAAACCATCCTTTTTAGTTAAGTATGTTACTAGTGCAAAGTGCCACCTGACGAGATAACATTTTCACTTGCTCACGAAGGTCCATTTGGTCAGTAATAGTAGTTCTGGTCTGAAATAGAAAATTACCATTATTCTGAAAACATGATCGATTAAATTGAATACACCTGATCAAAAAATGGCCACACATGTATCACAATGATCCACTAGTGCTTTGATCTATTAAAAATTATGAATATCACCAATGGAATTGGGTCTGATCTATTAAAAATTATGAATAAGCATCCTTAAGATCAGCTTATAACAATAATTAAATTATATATAACAGGGGTATTTTGGTACTTTAGTAGAATAAAAAACAAGCTGCTCCTTACCCGTATTTGTAACCTCAAACATTAAACTAAAACTATGAAGGGCATAATGGTAATTTTCTATATTACTAAGAAACTGTCGAATCCTAATGCAACAGCATCAGTATTAGAATAATTAAGTAAGTACAACAGCAAAGCAGAAAAGTACAAGACTAACCTGATTAGCATTGGCACATAAAAGAGTTGGAAGCCTTACTTTCACATGTATCAGTTAACAAAAAAAGAGCATCATGAGACTCAATTAAATTAGAAAGATGTTTGCTGTCATCAACCACTTTTTCCTCTTCTTGTCTAGCAACTGGATACCCAGGCATAGGTATTGCCATCACTCCCCCTCTGTTTCCTACAAACAAATATCAAAAGTAAATTATAACTTATTAATTTCAAACATTTTGGAAGAAAAAGAAGAGATTAAATATATGGTCTTTAAGTATCACCAGAAGAACAACCAAAGAAACTTCATGTTGCAGGACATTATATGGCGCCTGCATATTTTCATAGGCATACCATCAACCAAAAAAAGTTTAATAAAAGCAGAGTGCTTAAGAATGTGAGAAGAAAATTACATTAACATGGGCCATCCCATATAAGAACACTTTAGGGCAATGCTTAAGAGGGTATTCAAGTACCAATCAAACAGACTTTGCAAGGCCTCTTTCAGCTAGTTGGCATAAAACCTCCAAAAGATCAAGGCATAACCATGCATGATTTGCATACCCAGATTGAAACTTGGGAGTATTGACTGCATCAACAAATGCCTGCAAGAACAAGTGTAAATAAAAACTTGGATCTATCAAAAAATGAAACAACTCGGTCGTTCATATGAACATCATATGAATCTTCATAAATCATACCACTTGTCTTTCGCAGTGTGCAAATGTAAATACTTCAGGTGGGGCAGAAACAACATACTTCAAAAAAGACAACTGCCCATCAGTGTTTTCCCAAACATTACCACAAACAACAGATAATGGAAACGGATCCTACATTTCCATCTAATGAATCAGTACAACATAAGCTTCAATGAAGAAATTAAGAAGTAAAATCGTATGAATCAATAGCCACATAACCAGAATTCAAATAAAATAAAGATGTTTCAAAACTGGTTGAGTAATATAAAAATATCAACAACAAAGATTATTGTAAGATTAAATAAGAGTGATACATTTTTATATGCTTAAAAATGAAGAGAACGACTAAATATTTGACTCCAAGGTTCAGAAAACTATGCATCATGGACTTGTTTTACCCTCTTGGTAAGACATGAAAGACCTACATGGCATGTTTCATAATTTATGTAATTAACCATCGTACATGTTGATTATTTACCATCATCAATTTTTTGGTGAATAAATTTGTATAGGATTTTTGCTGAATAAATTTTTATAGTTCAATAATTAATGTAATTAACTAAAGTTAAAGGACAAACACTTCCAAGGTTACCTATAAGATTGAAGAATTTCCATGTTTATCACAAAAAGTGCTTAAATTAGTGACCTAATTAACTATATAATTAAGGTTCACCATATAGAAAGTTAAATACATTGATACCTTTAAGGTGAAAAGCTAATCCCATTTGGATTTTCTAAAGTTGAAATATCTTCCTCATAGTAATTACCTGATAAAGGGTTTAATCAAAATTAAAAATAATCTGTGGTTTGAAAGGATTCAGTCTTCAAACTAAAACATAAAATTTAAAAGACATAGAGGCAAAAGGGGGGTAAGTATCCTACTCATTTTGTTGCATAACATAAAAAGGAGCTGCAGTCTTTTCTCGGTTCATTTGTGTTTGGTTACTCATAAACAAATTCCACCCTTTATAAGCAAATCCCAAAAAGATTATGCAACAAAAAATTATAACAAATACACCTCATGTTACAATCTTGTTCAAAAACCGATAAAGATTAGGACAAACCCGATTCAAGAAGCAAACCCCAAAAAAATTAGAAATAGAAGTATGTATGTGTGGTGAAAAAATCGACCACAAGATTAGGAAAAAACACATTTAAGAAAGAATTTGGGTGAAATTAAAAGGAAAATATAAAACAACTTCTGGTACCATCCTCTTTAACGACCCAACCAGATGACGCTTCATCAAAGAGTGATTTCATATAATTGTAAGTTATCTACATATACCGATGAGAAATATATAATGTAAAATTTCAAAGAACATTGAGGAAGAGTAAAGATTAGTGAGAAAAACCCACCTCCAACGATGGATTTTCATGTGCATTCATCTTTTAGGTCACCTATTTCAATGCACTATCATTTTAAAACCTGTAAGCACATACCAATTAGGGTTTTTTCATATGGAGAAGGAGGGACGGTAGTGGTGCTGCGGTGTGCATTGCTAATGGTGATGGTGTACTGGATGGTGTGATGGTGGTCATAAATGAGCATTTTAGAAAGAGAGAGACAAGGGTGGTTGTAGTGGTTTAAGAGAGGAGCAACAATGACGATTTGGAATGGTAAGTGGGTCTAATGGTGGTGGTGCGGTCATCTTATGTGTGAGGACCAACAATGGTGAGGGCCTCAGTAGATGTGTCTCTGGTTAGAGAGAAGGTGAAAGGGAATAATGGGTGGGTAAAAGCAAGACGCAGAACAACATCCTGGATGAAGTTTTTATTTGAGTCAAAGAAGCAAAGAGGCAAGAAGAAAACAGTGAGAAAACTGTTATTAGGATTTGACCTTAGGAACAGTAAGAAACATTTTGTCAAATGTTAATGTTTACAATAGGGAAATCACGAGAGCTTGAAGGAGTCGATTAGATCTACAATCAAACAAGGGTTATTACCAACCACTTCTGCAATTTTGGTGGAGAAGATAGAGTACAACACATCTTGAATCTTTGTAACCAACTTCCAAAATTAGGGATAAAAGCAACAGCCATCGAGGCCTGACACAGATAGAACGTAACACGACAGGGAGGATGGAGGGGGTATGGAAGAAGAAGGGCAATTTGTAACAGCCGGATTTTCAGGTATCTTGTATATTTATGTTTTTTTTGGTGTTTTGAGAGGGGACTCGGTGAGTTGGAGCTCAGATTCGCCGAGTAGGGTCGCGGATCTGGTCGCGGGATTGCGCCTGGACTCAACGAGTCCAGGATATGGACTCGGCGAGTCAACGCTGTGTAATGAAACCCTAATTTCTCGGGTTTGGGACCTATTTAAAGGGCCTTATGGCCATCATTTGTGCTCACCAGTCCCTTGAGTGAAACCCTAATCGAGTGTGAGCGTTTGGAGCAAAGTAGAAGGCCATTATTGATCTTAGTGGTGTCATTTTTGCAAGGAAGGAGAGAACTAGCTAATGGAAAGCAAGTGGAGCCACTTCTGAGAGTTTGGAGTCCAGAGCATCACTATTGTGGTAATAATTTCGAGTTATCTTCTTCCTTATTGATGTTTATTTTGATTTAGGGTTTGTTGAACCCTTTTATGGCAAGATCTAGTGCCCCCTTGGTCCCTTATGTGGTTTAAACCATAGATCTGGACCCTTGGAGGTCCAGAGTGTCCCTTTGCCCAAGCTTTTGGGAATCAATGGAGGTTTTGGATTGGAATCTGTCACACCCCCAAACCTGAACGGCAGAAACGTTCGGGGGCGGATGACTTCATGTGGTAGCGTAACAAATAAATACATAGTAAAGAAAGCAATACAACCATCATATATATAATTGAAAGTTTACATTTGTCAAAAGTTACATGTTCAAAACCAATTACAATATGATGTCAAAAATATGAGATTAAACTGGCGCCGCAGCATCTCTTCTTCAAAAGCATATTAGTACCTGAAATTACTGAATCCCTGGGACATACAAGTAATTTTGAAAGAGTAGATCAGCATTTAAGCTGGTGAATTTCATAAGTATTTAAATGACAATGTTTAAATGAAATGAAATGTTTTATCTTTGTTTGTATGCGTTTTAGAAAATCCTATATTTTCTACTAGCATAAAAGTAGTCTTCATTCAAGACCAATGTTTGTTTCCAAAATATATGTAAAGGTAAAATAATAAATGAGTTTGAAAACCTTGTAAATCAATGCGTTTTTAATACCCCTTGTGAGTTTTATAACCATACTATTGACTCGAAATGCCTATACACAACGTTCTTCAGGCGTTGGAATGTTATGACGTTTGTCACCCCAAACGGTGGACTGTAGCTAACAGTCAGGGCGCGGGTTGTCAAGCCCGTATAGATCTATACACAAACACCATGCTCCCCCTCCAAGGGATTCTGGTATATAATACAGGACTTGAAATGTGTACTCGAACGTACATGAAGTTAGTGTCTCACAAACCCGTGGTATAAAAACAGATCTACTGGTTAAAATGTTACGTTTGTTCTTGTATACGAAAGTAAACTTCTTGAAATATATGTTTCTAGTACATAAGAGTTAGAAATCTGTTCGTAAAACTATACCTATTATAGTTTTACAAAGTGTGCCTTGTTTGTTTTTAGAAATACTTAGGAAAAGAATCATTTGTTTATGAAAGCATAGATTTTTGGTGTAGAGTCTACGATAGAAAAGAATAATTTAAGAACAGTTTAGTTTTATACCTGCATTACAACAACTTTATATTTTTAAAAGATCGAATGCTATTTCCTTTAAAGGTTTATAAATCGCATGTGATTTGAATATTTAACAGTATATAAAAGAGTTTCTTTATATAACACACGATAATACTCGTGTGTTTTACTTGTAATCCCCCCCTTTGAAAGCATATAAAAGTATTTAGAATAATTAAAACGGTTGATTAAGGGGTATGAAACTCACTTGAAAGTTTTGGAGATAGCGAGATGGAAAACCGGGCAGAGTTTCGTCTCGGGAAACGGATTTTCCTCGGGATTCTCGGAAATCTCGGGAGTAAAATCGACCTTCGGGACTTGAGCCAAAAAGACCAGAGCTTCGGGTTTGAACGGACACGGAAAACGAGGCAAGATTGTGAGAGAGATAAGAGAAATGAGCCCTTTCTTTGGAAACCCCCGTATGCTATTTATAGAGAGGCTGGTCTGCCTCAGTACGCGGGGCGTACGCTAGTACGCAGCGTGTACGCGTACGTCACGCATGACCGAAGCCTCGACTGCCCGGCCTCGGATGGGACACCGGGTCGGGTTCTCCGGATCGTGCGATGTGGACGATTTGAGGCCGAGCTTCTCGGGTACACGGGGCGTACAGGAGTACGCAGCGCGTAACTCGGATGCTGACTCCCCTTCGGATAATACCCGAATTTTGAATAAAATAATAATTAATTTATTTAATAAACTTCAAAAATTCATATCTTCTTCATACGAACTCCGTTTTTGATGGTCTTTATATCCTCGCGTAGGTGAGACTACGCTCTTCAACTTTCGTTTAGACTCCGTCGGCAAATTCCGAAATTATTTTTTTATTAAATATTAAAATCTATCGTGTTTAAGGAATTTCTTTGAAAATTCGTAACTTCTTTATCTGATGTCGGTTTTTGCCAGACTTTTTACCGCTGGAATACCATTGTCGAGACCTTCGATTCTCGTTTAGGTCATTCCGGCCAAAAGTCGCTCGATTTCTGATTCGAGTTTTTAGCTGTCTGTTGCTGAGTCGAACTTGGAAAAATCATAACTTCGCTAAATGAAGTCGGATTTGGGCGTTCTTTTCACGTACGATCATGGTTCAAAGACATTTAATCATAGAAGGAAATTAAATAGGACTTATTTGTACATTTTATTATGAAAGTAAATTTTATTACTCAGAAGCGGTTACAATACTTGACCCACTTTGGTCGTTACAAAGAGTTGAAATATCGGGTTGTCACATCATCCCCCCGTTAGAGAGAATTTCGTCCCGAAATTTAAAGTAGTAAAGATACTAGTGAACATGAAAGAGATGAGGGTACTTTTGTTTCATCTGATCTTCGCGTTCCCACGTGAATTCGGGTCCCCGCTTGGCGTTCCAGCGAACCTTCACGATGGGTATGCGACTTTGTTTTGTTTGTTTGACCTCTCGGTCCATGATTTCTACTGGTTCTTCCACAAAGTTGAGGCTCTCGTTGATCTCGATTTCGTCGAGTGGGATAACAAGAGTCTCGTCGGATAGACACTTTTTCAAGTTTGAGACGTGGAAGGTTGGATGGATGTTACTAAGTTCGCGCGGTAGGTTAAGCTTGTAAGCCACAGGCCGATTCTGGCAAGAATCTCGAAAGGCCCTATGTACCTTGGATTTAGTTTCCCCGCTTTCCAAATCGTATTAAACCCTTCCACGGTGAGACCTTTAATAAGACGTGGTCTCCTACCTGGAATTCCAAAGGTTTCCTCCTTTGGTCAGCGTAGCTTTTCTGTCGGTCTCTTGAGGCTTTCAATCGTTCACGAATCTGAACGATCTTCTCTGTTGTTTCACGTATGATCTCCGGACCGGTGAGAGTGCTTTCAGGAACTCTTCTTCCAGCTAACTGGGTATCGCCAACTTCAGTCCAGCACAGAGGGGATCTGCACTTTCGACCATAGAGGGCTTCAAACGGAGCAGCCTTTATGCTTGTATGATAACTATTGTTGTATGAAAATTCGACAAGGGGTAAATGAATATCCCATGCCTTTCCAAAATCAATCACGCAGGCTCTCAGCATGTCTTCTAAAGTTTGTATCGTTCTCTCACTTTGTCCGTCTGTCTGTGGGTGGTAGGCTGTACTCATGTCCAGCCTAGTTCCCAGGGAACTTTGTAGTGACTGCCAGAACCTTGAAGTGAATCTACTATCTCGATCGGAGATAATGGATATCGGAACACCATGCAGTCGCACTACTTCCCTTAAGTAAGTTCTTGTAAGCTTCTCCATTTTGTCAGTCTCCTTGATGGGTAGGAAATGCGCGGATTTGGTCAGTCTGTCGACAATGACCCATATGGTATCGAGTCCACTTGTCGTCTTGGGTAATTTGGTTATGAAGTCCATAGTAATCCGCTCCCATTTCCATTCCGGTATCTCTGGCTGTTGTAGTAGTCCTGACGGTTTCTGATACTCGACCTTAACCTTAGCGCAAGTAAGACATTTACTCACGAAGGTAGCAATTTCTGCTTTCATGTTAGGCCACCAGTACAGTTTCTTAAGATCCAGATACATTTTATCTGAACCCGGGTGAACGGAATATCTTGAGTTGTGAGCTTCAGTCATGACTATGTTTCTGAAACCACCATGTTTTGGGGTCCAGATTCGGTCCATGAGATAGTAGGCTCCGCCACCCTTGACTTCTAAATTCTTCTCCATTCCTCGCAGGGATTCACCCGCCACATTTTCGGGTTGCAAAGCTTCCATTTGTGCTTCCTTAATTTGTGTGGATAAGTGGGAATGGATAGTCATGGTCAGAGATTTGACCCTCCGACCAGTGTATTCCTTTCGACTGAGGGCGTCGGCTACTACGTTGGCCTTTCCAGGATGAT